GAAGAAATATAAAGAGTGTGAAAGAAATATACTTAACCCTATTTACATATGCCCTTGGAGAGCTTAACGGGCTAGGCTTAGAGGGGCAAAATAAAATTGGACTAGCCCAGAACTTAGAGGCATTGGTGTGGTTTGGGCCCCAGATATTTGGTTCAAATTGGTCCATGCTCAAGGGCCAAATAAATCCAAGACCTAAATTAGTATTATATGCGAATTTAAGTTGAAATGAACTTTCTAATCCCACCTTCGGTGTATGCAGTCTTTTGCTCATATGAGTCTCATTTTTTTCACAAATTTGTTTATTTATTTATTTTTTGGGCCGAGCACCTCCATTAAAACTTGAACCTTAAAAAAAAAGAGTCGGTACTGTTAGGCCACTCGGCTCATTGGTCCACACATTGAGTGAATGAGTGATGACCATTTTTAAGTTAAAATGATCTTTCTAAGCCCACCTTTGGGTGCAGTCTTTTGCTCATTTCTTTATATATTGTTTTTTTTTAAATAAATAAGAAGTAACCACACGCATTCAAGCGCCTCTAGTGATGCTTGATCTCTAAACCTACTTTTTGAAAGTAATTGGTAGCCTTTGATCACTTCTTCACACATTGAATGAATGTGTGGTGTGGTGGTCCTATTTATTTATTTATTATTATTTTTTTGTCCTGACAAATTAACTTCAACAATGTTACTAGGGATATATTGTAACCTTGAAATAAGTTTAATTAATGGCAAAAGTGTTCATATCACGCACTATCTGTAAAATTGAAAAACTAAAATTTTTATTTTTGATAATGGTGGTTACTAAATGTCTTTTTGTGTGAATTAATCATACCTTGTTGCTTGTAAACATCACATGATCCTGATGGCACAAGCCTAAAAAATTTCACGAATCTTGAATATATAATTATTACTTTGAACCTTTCAAATCTATTAGTATGAGTTGATTTTGTTCCACCAATATATATTGTGAATAATTTTTTTTTAATTTTTTTTTTGGAATGCATACGCTATTTTTTTTTCTCCATAAATAAGGTAAAATCAAACATATGTTTTAAATAATTGTGATGTGGGAGGAAATTAAATTGGAGATGGAATGAATCACCTGATTGTCATCCGTTTTTTTAATTTGAAATACACAATACTCTGAGTTAAATTAAGTATTTTTAAGTAGATGAAGTTGTAGAATAATTTAAAGATAAGTATTTTTTAAGTAGAAGAAGTTTTAGACTATTATGCAAATGAAATTAATTTTAAACTTGGAGAAGATACAATTTATAGCAGATAATTAGTTATTTTATTTTATTTTTTTTAATTTCGTATATATTTGTGTTATACTTGACAACATTTACAACATTTAAATGACAAAATAATTTTTTTCATTCATTTTTGTATATTTAAAATAAAATTTACTTATTTTTTAATTTCTTTTATTTTTATATTTCCGGTCTCTGAACATGCAGAACCATTAGTTGTTTAATTCAAATAAATAGAGAGTGTAGTTGGTTGATACAGGAGTATCTTGATGTAAGAATGATAAAATAATTAAATGATTTAAAATACTTTAATTATATATATATATATATATATATATATATATATATATATATATTGGAATTTTATCCATAGTTTAAACTTTTACGAACTAGTATTTTTTTCGAATCTATGGATCAAAGCTCTCTTCTAGGCTCCAGCGGACACTGATTTTAGTCCAGCTAACCCTACGTTGGAAAAAGAAAAAGGGCAAAAAAAATCCTTCTTCATCAGTAATTTTAGAGTTCTAATCTGGTCCTTTCATTAGTCATATTTTTATTCACCCGAACCCTCTCGGACTCACTGGTCATGGATCAATCATCACTGACACATCAACAAATGTTTTAGAATGATGTAAATTTTATTGAACCTTTTATTGACGTGTCAATTGATTAGTACTAGTGGCTTCATCACCATGTAAATCAATCTAACTATAACACAAAGAGGGTACACTTTCTTTAGATATGATTATAGATTAATGCGAATAAGAAAGCAATTAATCATTTAGACAGAAAAGCTTAATTAATACTTTGATTCACAGTACTCTGCTAGAAATAATAGAAAAACCAATAATGAAAAGTTAATTAACAAACTTTTATGCTCCTTTTTTGTTTGATTAGATGAAATAGACAGTCGAAATAATGAATTGACAGTAATTTTATTTTATTTTATTTTTTTGATTGGGAAGAAAGGAAAGAAAGTTTTTTTTATTCGTTTTACCAATATATCCTTGTTATACAAAATTATAAAAATTAGATATTCATTCTAACTTTTTGAGAAGGTTAAAAATAAAAATTACATATTTTTGTAATTATCCATTCTTTCTCTTTCTTATTTCCTTCCATTTTGGACGGATATAAAAATACAAAGTAAGGAAGTCATATATCATTTTCCTTCCTTCTAACCAAACACAAAAATTCCTTATATCCCTTTCTCAACCATCCCTTCTCAAATTCTTCCCACCAACATTTTTATTTTATTTTATATATGTATTAAAATATATTTTTAACAGAATTTCATGCTTTGATTTTATATATATATTTTTCAAGGATGTGAAATGACAAAACAGCTTTGAAACTCCTAAAATTATTTAGTTGGGAAAATTTAAAGACTCCAAGAGATGATAATTAAATACTTTTCCGCTTTTGTAATTCAAAGATATGTGTCACCAGGTCCTATGCCATGTAATTAACTATCAAACTCTAATAATAAATGATTAAATACTTTTCCGTTTTTTCTTAACCTTGCCTTTACAAGTTTTTTAAATGAACAATTGATGGTATATAGAATTATAAAATATTTAAGTGTTGCCGTTAAAATTTGAATTTTAACAACGGCACTTAAATTGGAACCGAAAGAATAATTATGAATCAATTTATACGTCTCTTTACTTTGGTTGGCCCTACCTCTTAACTCTAATCACTAGGTCACGGATGAAATATAGGGAACTCTAAAAAGGCTACAAGTCAGAATCTTGTTCCGACATCCATGGGATATATAAGGGCGTATGATTTAAGCTAACTCTAAGAATAATTTTTAGTGAATGAATTTATCGTGTGCAAGAAAACATCTTTCCAATAAAGATGACATACATATAAACAGGTTTTGAATTATTTAAGGATCCAGCTTGTCCGCTTACCAATTCTAAACAACCACTTCACAGAAGTAGTCATTTTGTTTGCTCAATTGATATTTGGACACGAACACAGACACCAACCATACGTTTTCTAGCTTCATCTCAATCAATAGTAGTGTAAGTTTAACGTCATCCACATCGTCCTTGTCCAACTACTTTGTCTTTGTTTTTCTAAATATTTTAAACGTGTGGGTAATCGTAATCGTAATTGATAGGAAATACATTTCAGGGTTCAAACCACCAATTCCATGACCATTGACAAACATTTTGATTTTGTTAACAAATTCTGGAGTCAACATCTAATTTTAAAACACCGGTTATCAATCTTCCGAATTTGAAAGATGTCAAATAGAATATGTGAGTTAGGTACGAATCTCACTACATGACTCATGTTTGCGACTCACTCCCACTCGACATCATTTTTCATTTAATAAAGGAGGCAAAACTAGGGGTGCTCAATTATTCCGTTTCGTGAAACCGATTCGATTTGTACAAATTGAATTGATTTTTTAGACTCATGGTTCAGTTGTAATTCATGGATTGGTTAACTAATTGGGGTCTTAAAAAGTCGATCCGATCCATTAGCTAATCCAATCTGTTCAAATTTATATACACGTACTATTTTTAATTTCTTTATTCTTTTCTTATTTTAAATTTTACTAACTTTTAATTAGGGGTATCAATTCATGTTCGTGGGTCATAGTCGTGTCATGTCAATGTAAGGGTATTATATTAAATAGGTAACCCAAACATGACCCATTTAATAATTATGCCAAGAATCCTCAATACTAACTCAACCTGTTTATTAAATAGGTTAACTCGTTTAATGACCTGTTTATCACATTAAATAATAGAAAAAATTTATAGCGTACATAAGGTTTATGTTGAAATGAATTAATTAACCATAATAATTGGATTTAAACAGGTAATATATTACATAGGTTATATTCAAGATTTTAACATGTTGAGTTAAATGAATCATAAACGAGTTACATAGGTTGAACTCCTCAATCCTAACCCAACACGGTTAAGTAAATGGGTTAATCGTGTCAACCCGTCTAAGGTCAGCTGATCCGTAAAACCAATCCGATCTGATCCGTAATCGGTGGTTCGATTCGTGGTCACTAAGGGCATTCAAAAAATTCGGTAAACCGAAAAATCGGATCGGATTGTACTGAATTGGGCGGTTTGGGCTAGTTGAATAGCGATTTGGTCTAGTTTGGGTCCAAAATTATGGAACCGTATTTTTGTCGATCCGGTCTTGGTTTAGGATCGTACTAGACCGGACCAGCCCGGACCGAACCGTTACTATATTATATAATATATATATTTATATATGTATATCATATCCTAAACCTAAATCAAGTAAAGTTCTCCTGTGCTTCCTTTCTTTCTTTTGTTCTTTAAATTCCTTACTTTTTTTTTCTAAAAAAGTCAAATTTTCCTTTTCAAATATGCCTCAATTTTCTTTCTTTTCAAATATATCTCAATTTTCTTTTCTTTATTTCTTCTTTAAATTGTTTTTATTGTGTGTTATATCAATGTTAGTTGATTTTTTATTTTTTATTTTTAACTTTGCCCCCTCTAAATTAAAATAAAATAAAAAGAAAATCAACTGAAACTGACAAACCGAGCGGTTTGGTTTGGTTTGGTTCCATGAACATTGTAGTTCGATCTGGTTTCAAAAATATTAGACCGTTATAAATGATTTGATCCCAAAATACTTTTAATCCGGTCCAAACCGAACCATGTGCACCTCAGTGGTCACCCAGGCAAAACCAGCAAAAGAATAGGTACAATAAAAAACTAACCAGAAACCACCATCCAGCACATATAATGTACAATCTTATAAATATAATTCCCATTAAGATGATGAATATTGGGGACGCAGGTAAATATATTCAGCTAGATTCATAACCGTTGCCATAGACATGTAATATGAACATAAATTAGGAGCAAATAAATTATATCATAATAAACAGCAGATCAAGAACCTCCCATTCTTGAAGCACACACTACTAGACTTCACAGCAGGAATTAGTCCTGTATTATATAATATATAAAGCAAACCCAGAATAATGCCCCCATTTGACTCCGTAAATCAATCAGCAGACCATTGCTTGTCATTCTTTGTCCTGAAATAGCAAAAGCAAACAAGTTGATACACACAAAAGCTTATGTGGTTGGATAATGCTAAACATGACTTGGTCAATAAAACAAACAAAAATGGATCATTGTTGGATGGGTGAAGCCTTTTTGACTTAAGCTACAAGTTGCAGCGCTCGGCGGATACATCCCAAAGTACAGATAATAAAGTTTCTTGAATTAATCTATACAACTATAGAGGCAATAAGACCCCAAAAGATAATAATTGACAAAGTGCAGGACTATTATATGAGCATAAAATTAACATTCTAAAATTTCGGCTTAGCTTTTTGTGCATGCTGATGCAGCATTCTGGTTGAGAACTTGGAAAGTATTATAGAATTTTGAAGGTAACAATAGAATTTGTGAGACCGATTTTAAATAAAAGATCTATCAAAAACATTGAAAAAACTTGCAGAGAATGCATCCAAGCACAAAGATCAACGTAATGCATTTCAGTAAATAACACTTCATATGCTACTAATTGCATCATCGCCATCAATTAGAAGCAGGGCATTGGAATACAGAACCTCTGTCCCAATTGGAACTGTTCTCATACCAAAAGCTAAATTCTTGATTAAAATAGTCATCCACAAGTTCCTTGACCAGAATATTGTTCATTCCATTTATTGCAAAGCTATGTATGACACAACTAAGCCTCCAATAAAAGCACATGTAAAATCAATTATTGACATCTTCTTTGAGAAGATCAAGATGGAATCGTGGAAAGAACAAAAAAAACTCAACTTTTCAAACCAAACAATTGAATCACTATTTTTCTAGTTTATTTATCAAATTATCTCATGTCTGCTTCAGTGGAATGAATTCTCTGAGGAAGCCAATTGTTTTCACATGGCTAAGATTCAAAGGTCATATTCAAATGTATAACAACCTATCCTCAATTCAACTGGTTGACTAAATACCACTTTCCTTCTTGAACTCATGGAAGATTGAATGTCTGATACAATAGCTTGTCAAAAAGGAACGTAGAAATTGTAATTTTTTTATAAGAATTTAGAAATTGAAAAAATAAAAGGCAACGGATTAGCACGTAAGTAAAACAACTACTTGATTTCTTCAATAAGTATCAAATCATTGTTCTTAGCAAGATCTTCCATTTCAAAAGAGATTGTAAGAGTGGATAAAGTCATAAAACACCAATAAGACCCAATGATGGTGTATAACCGAAAGTGACCTTGGTTTTGAGACAAGCTACGAGCTTACGATTTACAATCTGCCCGCTCTTCAATTCCAAGTATTACGTTTTTTACCTGACATTTCAAGTATTACTAATATCCTACTAATAATATTAATTTATCTACATAATTTAGATTAGGTGGATAATCTTTCTTTGGGAAAATCAGTTAGTTAGGAATTATGATCTAAAAGAAAGCCAAGGATAGAGAGCGAGAGGATCCTCTCCAACATTATGACAAAAATTGGATAGCGGCTAAAAGGATATTATTTATTTTCAAAGAAAAAGAAAATAACTTCGAAACAAAAAGAAAAAAGTAATGATTATGGAAAGAAAATAATAAATAATCATTTATTGAGAATGTATTCCACTACATTGGACCTCGATGAATCACGTAGGTTGGTTATGATATATGGGGCAATTACAATATTCCTTTTTCTCACAATAAAAAGACGACAATATCGTTTCTTGTCATAACGAAGACAAGACATTGACAACAACAGTAACACATCGTGAATGAAAATGGATATTGGTGCAAAGCAGATATAATATGCTTGGAAACAAACAGAATAGCCACAAGTATGACTTGGGCGAAATTTTAGGGATGGCGTTGTGGCAGTAATACCCAACTCCTGTTTGGCCCAGAAATGACATGTCCTATCTTTAAGTCCAATAGTTGTTGATATCCCCAAATTGCCATTCGGGAATAAGTCAGTTCTAAAGCATACTCAAAGGCTTGAGATATAGCTAATAAATAGCCAATGGAATACCAAATATCACGACCTAAATAAGAACATAAGAATCCAAAAGTCCTCTATCTATTTCAACTGAATTAGCTGTATGCACTTTGAAGCATCAATCATGTTTAAAAAATCATAAACATATCAAGGCTTTTGTTGAGTTTATTTGACTGCATTAATGCAGAACCTTGAGATTGGTATAATTCAATTCTTATGTTGAGAAAACAAATAACTACATTTACCAAAATTTTGCAACCTCATTTGCTTAAGAGTACAAAAAGAAAACAAAACACCATGAAAGAAGTTGCAGCACGATTATACCTTGTTCACTATGTTTGAAGCCACGATCCCCTCACCTCCACCAGTTTCAGTCTTCAGTTCCACTTCACTGCAAAGGTGGGAAGGTAACAACAAGAAAATAGATGAATAAAAATAACCCTACAAAATAATAAAATAAGCAGAAAAGCAAAAATGAAAAAAATAAAAGTGTACCTGACAGACCTTTCTTTCTTAGAATTTGGTCCCTTGTTTAGGAATGTGGCCATACTGGAATCTGGAGCACAATGTATTCCTGATTCTAAAGAGCCTTGCTTACCATCTCCCTGGTAAAAGAATTACATCCAAAATCTATTAGTCACACATTCTACGTGTACGGCGGCTAGAAAAACAGAACCCCTTTATATGCTTTAAAAAAAAAAAAAAAAAACTTACAGCTGAATCGCCACCTTCCATCCATCCTGGAACTCTATCAGAAAGAAGGGTAATATACTGCTCCATCGCAACCTCCGAGCTCATGTTCCCCAGACTTTGCCATGCATTCCTTGCACAATGTAATCAGTGCCCTCCAATCACTCACATATAGCAGCTGTCAACCCTGTTATTTTGACTAGCAATCAAGCTATTATTTGTGTTCAAGGGAGGTCCTAAGGTGTTCTGTACATTCAGTCCACCTGTCTAAGTTCCATGAATTTTTCTGGTGAAAGCCATATAAGCTGTTGGATCAAATTCCTCTCTAATACACTCTTTTCTGGGGGTATCCTATGGTGTAGCATCACCACATTTACTTTGAAAGTTCACCAATTTAAACTCACCATTCCAAGTGATGTACATTGTTTTGATAATTGAGTGATGTGGCACCGTTGGATTTGCACCAGGGTACAGCGGGATACCCCTGGAAAGGATTTTGATCCATAAGCTGTCTATCACCACTCCGAATTTCATATATGAATTTGACTCATTGCTATAACTGCCTTCGTTACATCATATAAGTATGTTCTGTCACTATAGGTTTTCTTTTTGTTCCTTTACTTTTTATTTATTCCTAAATGTGTAAAGCTTCAAGTTCATACTTCATATGGTATAATTAGCTCCAGCCTTCTTCTATTGGCAACATAATTGATGGGTTCTTAATAGGTTTTAATATTCTTTCCCTTTTCACGTAATAACAAATAAATTGCTTTCTACTTCTCCTTACTATCTGTTTTAAGCTCACACCTTAACTATAATTGGTTCACGCAATTCAACAAACATAAATAGATAACGAAATTTAGCAGAGAATTTCATTCATTACATAAGAAACAGTAAAATGTAGAAGGAAGTTACCATTTGGCACGGGCAGAGACCTTCAGTGCCATGGGTTGAGGCTCGTAGCAAGGTCCTTCCATGGCAACCTTTTGAAGCCCATACAACTGCATCTGCACATCACTGCCCAAATTCCCCAACCGATTATCCTTTCCCCCATAACCAACATAATTTGCAGCTGCAGCAAAATCCTTATCCAACTCACTCCTTTCAATTCCCTCCCAATCATCCTCATCACTAACCAATTCTTCCTCAACAATTCCACTCCCCTCTTTCAATTCCCCTCCAATTCCACTCCCCTGATAATTCTCTCCGCTTCCCACACCCCTAATCTTCTCACTCACCGATTCCACACCAGTACCATCATCATCCCTATCATTCTCACCAATCTTTTCTTCAACAACCAAACTACCCACCGTCTTCTCTTCAACAACCAAACTACTCACCATATTCTCTTCTTCCCTAAAACCAACAACTTCATCATCCTTTGTACTTCCACTCCTTTCTTCAACAGCCAATCCATCCGTACCAGTACCTGCAGCATCTTCCTTAACTCCTCCATATCCAAACGCACCGACAACCTCCTCCACTGCCACTGCCACCGCCACCGCCTCCTCTCTATCCCCTTCCGATGACGTGACAACCTCCGCCACCGCCACCGCCACCGCCTCCTCCTTATCAAAACCTACCGATGACTTCTCTGGCGATCCGACAACCTCCGGTACCTCTCCCGTACTCCCCTCCACCTCGATCCGATCAGCAGCATCGCGTATCTCCTCGCGAAGCGATACCTCCGGGCTTTCTTCATGAACCTGCACTGATCTTTCACCTTCAATTTGGTCGACCTTTCCGAGAACTTGTTCCACAAATTGAACACTTCTTTTACTAGTTTCATGACTCTGAACTCTCAATCCTCCATCGAATTTCATTTCCTCCACGACTGTTTCGAAATCAACATTCTTAGTTGAATCGCATCGATCATCACCAGTCACCGCCATTGAAACGAGCTTAGCAACAAGAAAAGAGAAAATAACTGCAAAAACAGCAGTCATGAGGAGTTCCTGAACAAGCTCCATAGTCTCTAATCTCCAAAAAAAAAAATCACCAACAGAGACTATATGTGTTTGTATCAATAGATACAGAAAGAGTGTGTGTGTGTAAATATATGTATATATGTGTATATATATATGTATATATAGATTGATCAATGTGGTGTAAAAGGATATTGGCAGAGAAGAGCAAAGCATATTCTCTTTACCTGGGCTTTGCGTTGCTTTTTTCAGTTAGGCGGGTCAGTGGGCCCACTTGGTAACGCTTTGTCATTGGTTAAGCTGAAGATGAAAAGCGCACAAACTTCCAATTGAAGGCATGCAGATCCTCTACTCCTCGCCATTTGGTGTATTCCCTGCTCCCTCATTTTATGGCGGACACGTAGGCATATGATGGGTTTTGCGTGGATGAAATGAGTTTAAAATTGATCATGATAAATTTTATAGTGTAATTTGATGAGATTAGACATCTACAAGAAAAGTAATACTAATAGTCCGAGGGTTCATCCAACATGGGATAGTGATGAAATATAACTTGCGACTTAAGTTTTTTTTGTTTTTTTTGGTCAAACATAAGAATTTGAATGGAATTAATCTCCTTAGGTAAACATTTACTTGGAAATTTTTCTATCATTATCGCGAGTTCTTGCCAGTAGGGTGGGGTACGCTTTAAGTTAATTGAATGGTTGGTGGTATGGTCTGAATCCGCGATCTATTAGTTAATATGTATTTTTTTTTTTAAGTTGGATATATACAGTATCAGTTAGTTTATTGTCCGAATTTATTACACCGTAACCGTAATTATAATCAATATTGCAAACATAATTACAATGCCATGTGAAGCGTTTATTTAAAAATTTCTCAATCATTATTGAGTTCTTATAAAAGGAGCGTGATTATTAACAAAATTAAACTCTAAAATTAATTCATTAAAATGGCACATATTTTATTATTACCATCAGCAATACCATAAATATTCACAAAATAAAGTAAAATGTGATAGATTGACTATATTAATTATTTCAAAAACAATAAAATATAAAATATGTGACAATATATTTCCCATTACTAATTTTTCAAAATGACACACAATCGTTTTACATCAGAGCCATGTTGTTTAGAGTGTTCAATTTGTGAAAAAATATTTGAACATCGATCACATCCTCTCCATTCTCTTGTGAAACCAAACCCATATCTCTCATCGAGACACACCAATCCTGTAGATATTTAGAAGATAAATAGTGAAACCAAACCCATATCGCGAGAACCCATATCTCTCAGCGACACACACCAATCCTGTAGATATTTAGAAGATAAATAAATGTGGTCCAAATTTTAACAAAACGTTATTAAAATTTACCTTTAATTTCCACGCATATTTCAATTTATGAAAACATTTGGAGGATAGAATCAATGAGTTTATATATATATATATTTTTTAAATAAAAAAAAAAATAGAATAAGTTTGTTTACCTAGTTCATTTTTATAGACATGTGAAAAAGATTTCATTCTTATGATAAGTGTGTGACAAATTTTATTCTTATCACAAATTTTATGCTGCCAATATCATAATTATATAATTGAAATTCTAAGAAAGTCATAAAACATGATATGGGTTGGAAGGAAAAATGAAAATCTCTAATACTTTTTAATTAGGTATCAAAATGTTCCAATATTTTGGTTGCCAAGTACACCTAAGAAAGGTCGAGAAACATTATGAAAACAAACAATTGTGTAATTGTAAAATCATGACCTGTAAAAGAATGAAAGAAATACTATTAGATAGTCACTGCTAACAGAAATTGAAGAAAAGGCTATGTGGGAGGGTAATTATTATAGATGAAATAGCATGTAAAAAAATTAGAATTAAAGAATTTGTTTGTCAAATTCATTCATATAGGATTATGGTAATAAAGATGATGATAATTAATAATTTATTAACTGGTTTATAATTTCTGTGTGTGTTGATGATGCTAAATTGAGGTAAGAATATTTGGTAACTTCTTAAACAATCTTTATTCCTATTAAGAATTAAGAATCATGATGACTTGTAAATTTGAACAATTTGTAGGGTTTAGTCTTATTGAATTTTTTCTTTCTCCACTCCTTGAAAGTTTTATTTATTTTTTAAGCATGAAAACAATATCATATATTATTTCAAAGGCACAAAGGTTAACCCATCGTTAATATAGAAGTTAGAAAAGACATACAAATCATGAAGCAAAACAATAAAATGAAGAACATGTTCCAGATCTGTGTACAAATCATGAAGTAAAGCAATAAAATGAAGAACATGTTCCAGATCTGTGGAAAAAACAGAGCCTAAAACTCTGCAACTGAATCACCATGGGAGAAACGCAGCAAATTGGAGTGACCCAAAGGTGAAGCCATCATCAAAGCAATAATTCCAAAGTTACAATCACAAGTCGCTCCGACACAAAAGAAACCCTGCGCAAGATCTAGTCAAGCAGAAAAAGATCAAATTTAGGCGCGAGAAAACCTAAACCGACCTTGACCTGGAGATCTAGTCGGAGAAAACAACAAACCCGCCCCATGTGATTCGAAAACGAACTCAACATAAACAAATTTAGCTGAACAAAACAAAAACGGCGTAAAAAAACACCCACGGAACACATTTATTGAAATACGTTAAATTTATTACAGTCGTGAGAGACAACCATCATCTCCCCACTCTCATGGAAGGAAGCAGGGAGGCACGGAGTGAAGAAGACGAAGGGGGTTAGAGAGAGGTGAAAGTTTTATTTATTTAAGGAACAATCTCAATGTACATATTGAATTGAAGAAAAACATTTGCCGCCTCAAAATAATATTTAAAATTACGGAGAAATGTGTACAAATGAAGAAATGTGATAAACAATTTATTTTTTATTTTTTTAAATAGCTTTATTTTATAGAAGACGAGTTATACACGAAATGTTATAAAATTAAGAGAGGACTTTTAAGAGCAATAATGTATACGGAGTGTTACAGTGTATATATATATATAATTAAACCTATCTATATATTACTAGTATATATGATAAGAAAACTTGCCGTGGGTTCAACTTGAAGAATCTAATAGGATCTTTTTTACATGGACTCTGATTATCAAAATTGAACTTCATCTGGGGCCATAGGCAATGGCCTTAATGGCCCAAGCCTACTTAGTAGGATGAGAATTACTGGATGAAAAAATATGAATGAGTATAAATGGATCAATATGTAGCAATATGCATAGTTTAAATTTTGAATAAATAGATAAATGCACACCCATTACACCCAGCTAATAGAGCACCTAATTTTGTACCGTCTTTAAATCTAATCACAAAAATTACTTGTGACGGAGAGTCCAAAACTACTTATTATTATTTTTTATTTTTATTTTTATTTTTGGGACAGAAAAAGAATTAACATGATGGTCCTCATTATTATAAATTGGAACAAAATTGGGCGCACACAAGAATAAGTATGACGAGAGCATAGGATTTTGGCACCAAAAAAAATCCTGACCACATTTTAAGTTATGTGGTACTTCACCAGCATCATGACAGTTGTGAATGTTTGATATTAAAAAGAAAGTACAGTTGGAGATGATGATGATAATGCTTATTCCACTCTCATTCAAAGCGCTTTTAATGTACTCCGTGACTACCTTTTAATTGATTTTTGTAAATTGCATTCATGCCACTTCCATCAAAGTGAATTGGGGATATTCTTTGTGCATTACCTAATGCTAATTGTCAATTTGGTACAAAGTGTTTGTGTTCGACACTCTCTCTTCTTTTTAATTTGTGAAGAAATAGAATAAAAAAATTATGCTGAAATTGCATTATAAAATATGGTATAATTTTTATTTTTATTTTTATAATGAATAGAATTTAGATATCATAAAAATAAAAATAAAAATTGTAATGGATAAAATTTTGGTCTGAATTGAAGAGTCATTTGATTGACCTTAAAGGTAAAGTTACTTATTTTGGATTTATTTTTATTATTTTTTAATACATGTCAAATCTATATTACCATGGCAAAAGTCAAAGGATAATGCAATACTTGAAATCATGATTTAACAGTTGGTTCGTAACTCTTTTACTATTATACATTTTTCTAAATTAATCGATTCAACTGATTTATATTGCTATTCGTCTCTCTTCATTAAAATACAATATGAAGCTTTTATATTCCATGGAAGGCAATATATATATATATATATATATATATATATATATGAAAGCTCTTATATCCTATGGACACCTGGTCTAGCTTTTCATTTATTTATTTTTACTTTTATTTTTTTCCATTTGTTGTTTTTGAAAAGTCAAGCAATAATTAAAGTCATGTTTGGTAAAGCCTCTAAGGCACGCCCTACTCTCACGATGGCAGTGGGGTTCAAGTTCAAACCCTCTCTTTCGCTCCTTTTATGTAGAAACTATCGTGCACCTACCTAAGAAATACAGAATGCTGCTGCATGTGAAAATTCCAATTTTATCCAAACTTGGTTTTCTTTTTCTTCTTTTTATTTTTATTTTTATTTTTTATATGCTTGTCTTATGATTGTTTTAATAGTGATTTAAGATTTCCAAAACTATTAATTTTGAACTTCTTACTCGTATATTTATTTTTTTGTACATCATACAATCACGTAGGAGTGGGGGCGGTTTTTAACAAAATATAAATATATATATATATATATATATATATATATATATATATATATATATATTGTGGGGATAATAGTAAAATTTTTCTGTAATTTCAGGGGAACAAATTTTAAATATTATAGGTACATAAAAAAAATTAAAATAAATTATTTACTAAAAAAAAATGCACATTAGAAATAAGTTTTGTGCGAACAATTGTTTGGGCTTAAGGTTTCCAAAGCATAATATGAATAGCTTTCTTCTCTCTATCAGTCTTAAAATATTGATATGAAACTTGGAATTTAAGATTCGAAATCAAAAAGACACTGGTAAACTAAGTTTGATGAATAATTTAGTATCAATATGTTTTCACAAATAATTGAGATTCAATTTATTCATTTGCATCTTCAATTATTGAAAAATGAAAACTCAAAGAGACAAGAAAAATATTAGAAAAGGGGACAACAAATTATAGAAGTTTTATTTGTGTTTGTTCTTTGGTCAGCATTGTTCTACTTCTGCAGCCCATGACCATAACTTGAGACAATTAATTTTCAAAAGGCCCACTTGCAACAACTTGGAGGAAGTCTAAACGCACAAAATAAGGATATTATCTAGTGACTCAGTTGGTAATATGCTCAACTCCTTTGAGCGACTGTGCTCGTGTCATTTCCTTCTAATTTGTTAAGAAATATATAAATAAATAAAGATACAAAACAAAATCATCAATTCTGATGATCTCTCCATCAAGCCTTGATGCTTAGCCTCCAGAGCATATCCGCGTAACCGCATTTGATGCTTATGTAATCCATCTTTTAAATAAGAAAATTATGTGTAATAAATGACTTGAAATTGCTTTAAACCATAGTTTATTGAAAGGGTCCATTTTTCTTTAAAAGTCCAATAAGTACTTAGAAATCTTACCAATTTAGCAGTAACATCTTACCATTATAAAAAAAATTTCTTATTAGCAATCAATTTTTTATTTCATTTATAATATTAATTGCTAAATAATTAGTTTTTTAAGTACAAAAATTATTTGCTTTTTTAACAAAAGGAAATAATAATATTTAATAAAATTCTTTACAGATTTTATTTTTAATTTTTGTGTATTAAGGTCAATGTGGATTCTATACAAGATTTGTTGAATTGAATAGATTAGATTAATTATAATTTAATTTTGTACTGTTATTATTCAATAATTAACCTCTAAACTTACTAAAACCGAGACCAAGTGGCCCAAGTCTAGTTGAAGAAGTAAATAAACCAGTTCCATACTCCAAATTGCAAAGGGATAGTGTTATGCAAACAATTATTGTAGATTGCATGGATAATTTGTCCCCTTTTTTTTTTTCCTTTTTTTATTTATTTTTTATTTTATAAAACACGGGTCTCCTTAGTTCGTCACTCTGAAAATCTAAATAATCATAAAACAGAAAAATCTGTTTTCAAAACACTATAATAGACCGTTCTCTAAAAACATGAATTCTCAAAAAGTAACTGTCAGAAATTGTCAAAGAATCAAAATTTTGTAATTCTCCATCCTCAAAGAGGAGGAAGGGGTTCGACCCCAAGTCTGGGCAAAAAGTGTAAGCATCACACTCTGGCTCTCGTGTGCTCCGCTCACGCTATTATTCCCGATATATGTGAGTCAATCCAAACTTGGGCCTGAGTCCAACAAATAAGAGGTTGAAAACCGGCCATTTAAAAACCAAAATGGGCCAGAATCCATCTAAAAAAAATCAGGATTGGGCTCATAGTTGGACATGTTGAGCTTGGGTTTTACATTCTATAGTTCTGACTTGTCTCCTCTCATCTGTAGCTTGCCCCAGTTGACGATCTTACTTGCCACGTGTTTAAGCCATGACTGGTTTGTTATCACCGTTTAGGTAGATGCTATAGACGTGTCCGGAGAAGATATCACCTACAAGTATTGGATTGTATCTTATAATATGTACTACCCAAAGGCCAATTTTTTACATTTTATGAGATATATAATTTTTATTTTTATTTTTTTTATTTTTATTTATTTATTTTTTTTTTATGTCTTGTTCACTAAAATTTGCTATTATATTTTTTGTTGATCAGATAATTTTGTTGTTGCCAGAGAATACATGCAATTCCAAAGGGCAATAATATAATTGAAAAATATAATCATTTAGTTAAAAACTCTAAAGATCATCAAAACCCTTCATTTTTGTTAATAAGATGCTTCCAACATTCCGGTAGTTTATACTTTATATAGCTCATTCTTTGTAAGATTATCATCCTTGACCAAAATTAAACATGTGACACCATCATCAAACAAAAATATATATATATTTGGCAATGTTTTTCTATTATTTTGCAACATCTACAAGCCTACAAATAATAGAATATATTTCATTCACTTCAACAACCATGTAATTACTTAAACATTGCTCTGCTTCCTTGTTATCCAATTCACCACTAGCTTCTCTGCAACCCTCCTCCAATTATGATTCTTCGATTATTATTCAGACGCACATAATTCTTCAGTGCTTGGTAGAAATCGAAACCATGTTTAATAATAAAATTTTGTTTTGAGAAATTCAAAAACTTGTTTTAACTTCTCCGCTACAGTACCAAAAAAACACAATTTCACCGATTTAATACCAAAAAAATCTGATACACTAATACCAAAACCAATATCACCTGTCCTTGTTTGATATGGACCCAAATTTCAAGCTCAATATCAGAAAAACAATATCACAACCGTAAAACAATATCACCTGTCCTATTTACCATTTTAGAGCATACCCACCAAAAAGAGAAAAAAACATACTGCAAACATTTTAAACAGAATATGGCATCCTGACCAGAACTTGAAACAAGCATCCAGAAATTCCTGCTAGAAGCAAGCATGAACCGACAAAATTGATGAATTAAAACCAGAGACTAGTGTACACACACTTTAGCTCTACCGATAAAAGTTTAACCAAAAGGTAAAACAAAGTGCAGGATTAAGACAAGAACTGAAACTGACAACAAATTGCCATCTAGAAAAGAGAGGTCCCCTTCCCCTTCTTGTCTCCGCCAATCTCGAAATGCTTGCAACGCTGCACAAAACAGTGGCAACAATCACACGTCTGTAAAGAAAAACAAACAAGAAAGCAAAACAAGGACCCATTGGAAGTAGTTCAAAAGCCTACCTTGATTGGGTGCTGAGATACATGTTTGCAACCCTGGCATTGAAGCCTCAGCACAATCTTCTTGGTGGTTTTTGCCTAGTCAGAAAAAGCAGTCAAGGCTGTAAAATTCGGAATAAATTATCTACACACTACATATATAGTAGTAATATTATTACAACTTACTATGTTTACAAGGAAACAAGAACAGCTCAATCAATTGATGTGCCTTGGCGTTTAAATGAGAGAATCACTAGAAATAGATTCTTACCTTTTTGTGGAAAACCGGTTTTGTTTGTCCACCATACCCTGACTGTTTCCGATCGTAACGGCGCTTGCCTTGCACAGCCAAGCTATCCTTCCCCTTCTTGTACTGTGTCACCTTGTGCAGGGTGTGCTTCCGGCATTCCTTAGACTTGCAGTAAGTCTTCTTTGTCTTTGGAACGTTCACCTGCAATAGACTTGGAAGGAATCACAAAAAGTGCCATATTATCATAGCATGATTTTGATGTTTCTTTATGCTTGAAAATGACATTTCATTTTCGGCTCCTAGAAATACTTGCAATCTCAAAGTTAGGAGACAATTACAAAACAATTTTAAACAAAAGTTTCAGTTTGAGAGACACCTTGTACTATAGTAGTAGGCTAAAAAGTTGCAGAATATTGTACGAGTTCGATGAAATCAGTCGACATTTTAATAGAAAAACATTAACAAACATGTAATTCCCAAAAATGTGATAAACAATAAGAAGAACTCAATACTTTTGTTCAAACAATAACACAATTCAAGGTATTGTCCTTCTACACCACCCGCAATAGAATTGGAAGGAATCACGAAAAAGTGCTATATTATCAGAGAATGATTTCAATGTTTCTTTATGCTTGAAAATGACATTTAATTTTCAGCTCCTAGAAATACTTGCAATCTTAAATTCAGGAGACAATTACACAAAAGTTTCAGTTTGAGAGACACCTTGTACTACAGTAGTAGGCTAAAAAGTTGCAAATTATTGTACGAGTTCGATGAAATTACATTTTAATAGAAAAACATTAACAAACATGTAATTCCCAAAAATATGATAAACAATAAGACGAATTCAATACTATTGTTCAAACAACTACACAATTCAAGGCATTGTCCTTTTACACCACCTGCAATAGAATTGGAAGGAATCACAAAAAAGTGCCATATTATCAGAGAATGATTTCGATGTTTATTTATGCTTGAAAATGACATTTCATTTTCAGCTCCTAGAAATACTAGCAATCTTAAATCCAGGAGACAATTACACAAAAGTTTCAATTTGAGAGACACCTTGTACTACATTAGTAGGCTAAAAAGTTGCAAAATATTGTACGAGTTCGATGAAATTAGTCAACACATTTTAATAGAAAAACATTAACAAACATGTAATTCCCTAAACTGTGATAAACAATAAGACGAAGTCAATACTATTGTTCAAACAACTACACAATTCAAGGCATTGTCCTTTTACACCACCATTTTTAATACTACAGGACACAGCCAGACCATAAAGAAAAATTCCATGCAAATACAGTTCCGTTTTTCATCTCTCCACTTATTCATCCATTAAAAAAGAGAAATTTCATCTGAACACAGCTATCGGAAATTTAAAATAAGCTAGAAATTAAATTATTGGTTATTCTCAAATCAGAAGTGTACAGGTATAAATTCGAACTGAATATAAATATACTGCACTAACATGGACACATGCCCAGTGTTAACTTTCTGCACAACATCATATCATGATACATAACATCACAAAATCAAACACTCAAAATATAACATAGACTAATAAACATATACTTAAGAAAACATAGATTAATAAATATGGAAAAATGTGGGAAATAACACTCTTTTAATTAGAGAATAAACTAAATAAGTAATGTTATTATACAAACTTTACATATAGACGACCTATCTCTAACTTACACTGCAAAATGCATGTCCCGTTCAGTTGAGACTGACTATAGGAAAGAAACTAATCTCTGTATCTAGACATTAGTTGGAGGTCACCTAAAATCCCAGCTTTCATTTCTTTCTCTTGTAACAACTTTTACACAATCAAACAAAGCATATCATTCTGTTTTGTTTCTGAAAAATAGTGAAGAAATGATTTTCAATAGAACAACGGAAGTTCCCATAAGTATCTAACATCAAAGTCTATTTTTTTTTTCCCTGCGTTTTCTTTGCAGCCAAACAGAGCACTATAGTATTTCTCATCATAACATTCAAAAGCCAATTTTAACTACCAAACAGCATATTGCAATTATATAAACATAACCAAAAAATATATCCGAGAGAAAACACCAGAACGAACAACTATCAGATCTAAGAACGAACAACAACTATCAGATCTAAGAACGAAAAGATGTGAAAAAAGAGAAAATACCCAAAAACATTATATTCTTTTCAAAAAAGCGAGAGGTAAACAATTGGACATAAAATCTTCAGTACCATTTTCTTTTCGAGGACGGAGTTGAGGCGTGGAGTTGGCCGCTAGGGTTTCGTGAGAGCTCGCTTTAAGACGAGAAGTGATTGGCATTCGCAATTTATCGTAATGGGCCATGGATCGAACATGGTCAATAGATGACCGAAGCCCAAAGGCCCAATTCCAGTGCTGGCCCAATCACTTTAATGCTGTTGTTGGGAGCCTTCAGGTAATGGCGCTCAGCTCGGTTGTACCCGTGTTTGAGTTCTCCTCTTTTTAATTTGTCAAAAAATACTAATAATGAAGGCACAAAACAAAATCATCAATTCTAATGATCTCCATCCAGCCTTGATGCTAATGTAATCTCCCTTTTAAATAAGAAAATTATGTGTAATAAGTGACTTGAAATTGCTTTAAAACATAGGGTTTTTTTTTTTTTTTTTTTTTTTTTTTTTTTTTTTTTTGTAAAAGTCCAATAAGTGCTTAGAAATCTTACCAATGTAGCAGTAACATCTAACCATTGTAATAAAATTTTCTTATTAGCAATCAATTTTTTATTCCATATATAATATTAATTGCTAAATAATTAGTTTTTTAAGTACAAAAATTATTCACTTTTTAAATAAAAGGAAATAATAATATTTTATAAAATTGTTTATAGATTTTATTTTTAATTTTTGTGTATTGGGTCAATGTGGATTCTATACAAGATTTTTTGAATTGAATAGATTATCAATAATTAACCTCTAAACTTACTAAAACAGAGGCCAAGTCCAGTTGAAGAAGTAAATAAACCAGTTCCATACTCCAAATTGCAAAGGGATAGTGTTATGCAAACAATTATTGTAGATTGCATGGATAATTAGTCCTTGTTTTTCCTTTTATTTATTTATTTTTATTTTATAAAACTCTGCTTGAAAATCTAAATAATCATAAAATAAAAAAAAAAAACCTATTTTTAAAGCACTATGATAGATAGTTCTCTAAAAACATGATTTTTTAAAAAATAGTTGTTAGAAATTGTCAAACAATCAAAATTTTGTAATCTCTCCATCCTCAAAGAGGAGGGGAGGGTTGAAGCACAAATGCAAGCAATTAGTCTGAGCGTTACACTTCTGCTCTCGTGTTCTGCACACATTATTGTTTCCAATCCTACTATATGTGATTCTGTAATTCAGATTTTGCCATTTTTGGGCCCTGGTACCATTTTTGTGTGACTGATGTTGTAATCCAAACTTGGGCCTCAGTTCATCAAATAAGAGTTTGAAAACCGGCCATTTTAAAACCAAACATGGGTCAGAATCCATCTAATAAAGTAATTAGGATTGGGCTCATAGTTGGATAAGTTGAACTTGGGTTTTACATTCTATAGATCTGACTTGTCTCCTCTCATCTCTGCTTTAGCTTGCCCCAATTGACGATCTTACTTGGCACATATTTGACCCGTGACTGGTTTGTTATGACAGTTTAGGTAGAGAGGTCACATGACTCACGATTTATCTTTGAACTTCTGGAGAAGATATTACCTACAAATATCGGGTTGTATTTTAAAATCTACACAACTGTCAATATTCGCACGCGAGAAGAAAGTATCAACTAACACGACATTCAACTTGAAGGGCCAATTTTTTATATTTTATTAAATATATAATTATTTTCATGTGTTATTCATTTTACTTATTAAAATTATGCTATTATTCTTTTTATTGTTGTATAAATTATAAACTTTGTCAAATGTATCATAAATTCGTGATCATGTTGTAAATGCAATCTACTACTGTCATTTTATTAGATGATTAATTCTATTGTCATGTTATTGTGTGATAAATGGTGAATAATATATAAATTCTCCAACAATTTTATATAAAAATTCGTTCATGATAAACTATGGACTCTAGGCAAATTCTAATCTTGTATATTCTTTAATCAAGTTTAGCTAAATTTATGAGGAAGTCAGAAATTTATTCTATGATCAACTTTAGGTTTTAGGCGGTTAATAATTTAAAGAGAGTTTCCGAAACTCTTCTATTTTGAATTTCTTCCTTGAAGCAAGGACGAATTTAGTGATGAACTTGTCTTAATCCCACCCCAATTACCTTTAAATTTTTGTTTTTATTTATATATTTAATATTTTTAAGACGAAGTATCCGATAATATATTAATATTTACTTCTTACATAATAAAAGTGACAAAACCGATCACACTCCCAATTAAACAGAATACACTAGACCAATTTAATACTTTATTTATTGAAATACTGATGAGGATAATATTAATTATAAACTCATCTTAAAATGAAAACAAAATTAACACCACGAATTTTTTAATAAGACGGGATAAGGTTTAGCTAAATCGGTCCGAATTCCGTCCCACTACCATACCCAGTGGGGACAGTTGGGTGAAATTTATGACCGCGTGAAATTTATGACCTTAGATTTCCAACATCCAACCACCAACACATGCATACATACAGGGAAGACTTTTTGGTGTCCAGTTGGAGGCCAAAATTAATGAGAGCTATTACGTAATCTTCCATTAGTTGGCCATCGTTAATTTGGGCTTTCTTTGTAAGGCCCACAACTTGTTCATTTCTGGAAACTTGAACGATCACCATTACTAATTGTCCGGTGAGATCCAGCTGTGCAAAGGAGTAGATGTGATTCAATCAATGGATGATTCCGCGTTCTCCTTTGTTGAATACATTGGGCTTCGGCGGTATTGGATTTGCATACGTGTAAGATAGACTTAATAGACTTAAAAAGTGTCAACTCTAGCTCATATTGCTGCAAGAATGAAATCTATTTATGTTTATAATTTATTGTCTACATAAATAGATTTTGAAAATATATATATTTGTTAATTTTGATTATGTTTATCATTATCAATTATATAAATTTACTTATATAATTACTGTTCACACATGTTAATTTTATAAACGTCAAAACAACGTTTATGTTTATTAATTATTTTGGTGGGTTTTTATAATGGGTATCTTCAAATATTATTTAAGTAATGAGTACCTTTCGAGAGATATATATATAGTAGCGTTCAATTGTTTCCTAATAAGTAGAGAGTAGTATTCTCATTATATATTAATAATATGAAATGATAAAACTAAACATGTTTTTAATGGAAACAAACAAAAGTCAAATTGGTTAGAATTTTCTTTTATACGAATTCCTTCCTATCCGAATTCTCAAAGCATACCAGTTAAAAATAAAAAAAATTAATTATTTCCAATCCCTTCAACGATAGAAGGTTGAAACATAAAAGGCAATCACATCTGAAAAAATTAAAAAAAATGAAATTTCCAATCCTCCTTTCGTTCCTCCCCTTTTAGTCAGGGAATTCTCAAAGCATACCAATTAAAAAAAAAAAAAAAAAATTGGAAATAAAGATTTTTTTTTCTTTCATTTGTAGGGCCAAAATTATCATTCTTTTAATTAATATTAATTGTGAAATTACTATAAGTAATAGTTTCTTAAAACGAAAAAAATTTAATACTCTATTTTAATCAAGGCACAATCGTCCCCTTCTCAACCTTGTAATTAATTTATGTTTGTGAAACAACTATTTACTGAATAATCCAATTATAAAGGAATGTTGTACTCTCATAATATGTTTATTTGTATGTGTGTGCATAAAAATGAATTCAAAGACAATTAAAATCATTAAATCATGTAACCCAATATAAAAAATATGAAAGAGAAAGGGAATGGACCACCTCCACCACCTCCAACGGCATTACCTCCACCGCAACCACCACCTACCCCTCCATTGTCGCCACCTCCACCGCTACCTACCCCGCCATGGCTGCCACCTCCACCACCGTCGATGGTGGTAGGGTAGGTGGCGGTGGTGGCGGAGGTGGTGGTGATGGTGATGGAGGTGGAATGTACTGTGACAATTTAAAGTTAAAGGGATAGGATATTTTATTTTATTTTATTTTATATTTCAGATGTGGTTGTGTTTCAACCTTCTATTGTTGAAGGGATTGGAAATAATTTATTTTTTTTATTTTTAATTGGTATGCTTTGAGAATTCGGATGGGAAGGAATTTGTAAAAAAGAAAATCACATGTCTAGTTTTGTCATTTCCTATTAATAATATATAATGGTAATAAAAAAAGAAGCAATTGTCTTAAATATAAAAGGGAAACTGATTAATTAATTACCGCATGATTAGATTCTAAGGTCAGGATTAAAAGTGAGCATACTACTCTCTGCTCTCCAGGGAACAATTGAACACCACTATATATATATATATATATATATATTAGAGTAGTAATTTGTTACGTGAAAGTCATTATAAGTAAAAAATAATTAGACACTTCATAGATGTTTTATTATTTGTTGTTGTTGGATTTTTTAAAAACTTGTTTAAGAATAAGATTAACAAACTTGTCTTTTCTGTTTATTATTTTAAAAATAAGATAACTATTTTTACATTATTATACAATGTATCTTTTTATTCTTAATCTTCATCAGCAAACACGGACAAAGAAGATATTCTGGATGAATAACATACTTAGAATGATGATAATTTTTTCTTAAATGTTGCAAATAATGTTGCATTTTCTTATTTTCAATTTTTTTTTTGGCTTCGTGCTTATGGAATATTATGATTTTTTTTTCCATCTCTCCCTCCCTTACTCATTTTCTTATAACTTGGTAAGTAAAAAGAGTATACATAATATTAGTTATTTATTTTATTTTTTTTAACATATGTCAAATTGTTATTGTCCTAAAACAAATAAAATTGTGGTAGTATCATACTTAAGTAAATTTATACTTCCTTCTTGCATATTGTAATTGTTCTCAAGTGTGTTACTTTTCCAAATTTTGATGTTTTTGAATATATTTTCAGCCTACATTTCATTTTAACTGCCAGCTTGAATAAACATGGCGACAAAGGTTTGTTAGCTTTATGCAGGAACATAATGAAACGTAGGGCAACAGCAAACTTGGAATTAGAATTGCATGGAGGACTTTCTCAGGGTTCAAATTCGCAGTCCCATAGTTCCCATGGTTCACAAGAAGAGGACGTGGGGACTACTGAAAGCAATGAGTTAAGACCACCGAAGAAGACTCGGGGCCCCACACGTTGCGCAAATGTGGTACAACATGACACCAAAAAGAATGGCCTGATACCATTAAGGTGACTTTATTTAAATGATGGCATTGAATGAGTAGAAAGTTCTACGAAATGCATGCAAGTGAAGCCTCTTGTTGTTGTTGTTGTTGTTGTTGTTGTTGTTGTTGTTGTTGTTGGCTTATTTATTATTATTATTTTTTTGGGTGTGTGTGTGGCAACAATGTGTTCCTACTTATTTGGTCCAAAATCGATGACTTATTTGTTATTATACCATTTTACGGTGCGAATGAGCATGGACAGCCTAATGGAGCCGATGAAAAAAATTTCGCTAATTATTTGGGCACAATTGCCCGTAATGGTCGTGCAGCTCCCTTGAACTATAAAAATTGGAGGAAAGTCCCTGACTTAGTTAAAGAGGACATGTGGACGACGGTCCGGGTAAATTTTTTTCGACTCTTCACATCTTTGACTGACTGATTTCACTTGTAAATACACATTTCATTTCAAGAGTTAATAAAAAAATATTTGAATTACTCGATTCTTTATTTATTTATCTTTTATATGCAGGGCAAGTTTGCAGTAGAAGAAATCTCAAAAGATTGGACATTTTCATCCCTTGGTCATAAATGGAGAGATTGGAAGAGTGAGATTAAAAGTAACTATTATAAAATTTGGCGTACAGATGAACAACGCTATGCAAACCCACCACCAAGTGTTGAGGAGGACCAATGGGATTATCTCATTAGATATTGGCGTACAGAGGCAGCACAGGTAATTCATAATGTTATTTAGGTTATTTAATAATATTAGATTTATTATTTAATAATAGTAGACAGTGGTAGCATGATCTGGTTGTTGGAGTTCGAATTCGGGTGTTGATTGATATGGGTGGCTGAATTAGTGGTTCGGGGTTGCTGTTTGGTGCTTGATTTGGTTGTTGAATGATTTCTAGCATTTTTTTCCAGTCAGTTCTACTATTTTTTTTTTTTTTCCGTGAAATTAAAGATTTGACTTTTTACTAATTTAAATATTTGTGATGAAATATGCTATACATCCCCTTTTTTTTTTTTCGTTTCTCTTTATTGCAATTGCAACCCTGCTTTCTTGGAGCAATCCATTTCTTTCCTATATAATATTGGAGGTCAGTTTCTTCCCACCACCTCACCCCTACCCACTAGTAGTGATTTTTTTTTTTTTCCCAACCCGGTGGGCCTGTTTTGAAGTTTTCAGAAGTGAATTTACCAACAATTTTTTGTTCAAAAATATGAAAACTTTGAGAAGCATATATTGTTTTAATTCCTTTTAATAGTTTTGATTTAAAATCAAAAGGAGAAGAGGAAAACATAAATTTTTGATTTGTGGATAACTCGCATTTGTTTAACATAAAAAAAAGTTTTTCGAAGTGGCATAGTAAATGAAACAATTTTTTGCATTGCCTTTTGTTTTCTTTCTTTAAAATTTTTTTTCACCATGATAATGGAAATTGTTTCTGGAAATTGCACTGAATAAGCCCTGATATAACTTGGACTATAAAATGTCTCCATTCTACTAGTCACCCGTTTACTGAGACTGTTCCCTTAAATAATCAACAATAATCTGATTATGAGCCTTCATGAAAAAGATATACCACTGGCATTTTCCTTGAGGTGTTGATTATAATCCTTTACCAAATCTAGTTTTGGATCATAAATAGCTCTTTATTTTTGAAGCTGAGAGGCTTTCTTAGACAAATATTTGAATATACACAATGCATCTACATAATATTGCTTAACAGATTCTTTTTTGAAACCTCCACTTTTTGGATTGTTCTCCATAATTGTGTCACAATTATAGAAACACAACTAGAGTTTCCAGTGCTGCCTGTAAAATAAAATTTACTAAATTTGTGCATTTTCCCAATTTGCATTTTTTTGTTGTGACCCTCACCATTGTCATTTAGATTTCTCTTGAACCATTCTGTTCTAATGAACATCAAAAGGTCAACTAATATGCCGAAGCTGATATGAGACATGTTCAAAGACTTTGAAAATTTCTGGTTTATGCAAAGATCATAAGTGGCTTATTTCAGAGAAATTGATTTAGTTGAGGCACAAGACTTTATGTTTTTTGTTTATATTTTAAATAAGAAGGATGTGGTTTTGCAATTGTTTAAGAATATACGAAATGGGATTTAATAAAGATTTTGTGCGCAGATTCTCAAAATTGAATTACAGAAAAAGGAAGATCTGAAAACTCCCATATGATTTAGATAACTTTTCTTGTTGGATTTTGTTTCAAGAAATGCAATGGATGTGGGATTCATATTTAATATAGTCACCTTTGCTCAACAATTTTATTAGTAAGTTCCTTCTCTGCGTGTCCTTCTAAGACTGAAGGTGTTCGGAATTTTCTTTCATTCAATTATGAGAGGTGACTTGGACTGGGGATTTGGAAGATAGGAATACTAGTATATGTGAGAGGCCACATATTCAGTGCAAAAATATGTTGAGGATATTGGCAATTGTAGAGTTCTTAGTTTTTTTATTTTGCTACTTCTATTGAAACTTTGATAAAAACAAGAACCCAAACTCAATTAGAAAAGACAAGATTGAGAAAAATTTCTGAGACCTGAACTCAACTGGACTGGTTGAAGTATTGGGCACAAAGTGCCCAGAAACATGAGCTACACTACTTTGGGCTATAATGTAATCTTTTATTATTTAATATATTAATCTTTAACTTTCAAAAAAAAGAAAAAGAAAAAAAAAAAAAAGAAGCTAAACTTTTACCCCTGCACAAGCAGTGTCCCTTGGGCTGGTCTCTTATCTCCTTTCATTTAAAGTATATTTGCATATTCTGTGTTGGGTATGTATGCAACAATGCAACAATTTTTTTTTTCATTTTGTTTTCTAGTATATTTGTTTTTCGGAACTGGATGTCTGAAATCAATCCTTGAATTTTATGGTGCACTCTTTAATTTTGAGAATGTTGAATCATTTAGTTGTTAGACATCCTGCTGATTTAATCTAATTAGCTCATATATAACATGTGTGTGTTTACAATTTAAAAGGCTAATATATAACTTCTTATTCCTTTGTTTTAGAAACAAAGCCAACAAAATGAAGTAAATCGCTCTAGCAAACAATATTGCACACAACTGGGACAATGAGTTATGTGCGCGGAAGGCTAAAAAGGTTAAGTTGGATTTTTTATGAAGTTAATCACTTGTATGTCATACAATTTATTATACATCATTGCGATATAATTATAATAAGATATATATATATATATATATATATATATATATATATATATATATATATATATATTAAAAAAAAAAAAAAAAAAACCCAGATGAAGTTGGAATCAAGGAAGGCGCCAACTCGTGCTCAACTATTTTGCGCAACACATAAGAGCAAGAAGGATGGCAAAGCTAGTGATGAACATGCTGCCAAAATGATTGTAAGAATTTTTTTAGACCTTCAATTATTTACTTTCTAGTTTGATTAAGTGTAAAATATGAGTACTAAAATTTATTATATTTGATATTTTATTTCTTTTTGTGTTTCCTTATCCATTCTATGTATGTAGACACAACTAGAAGAGCTTGCTGCAACTCAGCCTTCTAACCCAGATGAACCTTCACCCCACGATTTTTATGCCCAAGTTAGGGGAGAAGAAAGAAGGGGCCGTGTTCGGATGTATGGCCCAACCTACACCTACTAGCCTTTTGGGGCCATCTCCTAGTAAAGCGGAGCTGATAAGGAGGACCTCACAAGCAGAGGAAGAGGCACGTCTTGCTCGTGCAGAAATGAATGAGAAAGTGGACAAGATGCGTGCCGAGTATGATGAAAAATATGAAGCTTTGAATGCAAAGATGGCTATGATTTTGCGTCATATTGAAAATCAAAATTCAAATGTACAGGTAAATAATTTTATTATTGTACCCTTGTAAACATTTAACTATATAAATATTATAAGTCCTAATATATTTATAATTATATTCTATTATGAAGGTGCATAATAAAATTATACTTTATTGTGAAGGTACCCGGCTCCTCAACTACTACACTTGGTGATCCTTAAACTTTATTTTTGGTCATGGAATTTCATCCTTGGTGAGCATTATAGATTTTAATTATCATTTTATTTTAACCATACATTTAATTGTCTTAATTATTATTCTTTGTTTCATGGCTTTAATTTAAAATGTATATAGGGCAATTTGAAGGAAGATGCGAGATGAAATTGAATCATTAATTCTCAAGGCCCTTGCATAGTCTCACTCAAATTCTCAATGAAATGTTGATGTTTTATTTTGAATGATTTCCTTTTGAACCTTTTATTAGCACTTGACATTTTGAAACAAAACTTAGATGTTATGGGATGTTATTGAATTTTAATGCAACTTTCTTTGTTCTATGTTACATATCAAATTTAAGTTGTTGGATGTGTTGTGATTGGTAAATTATATTTGATTTCATTGAATATGGAATAAAATAAAATATTTGCTAATATGTAAATTAAACTTGTAAGTGAATTGTAAATTAAAAAAAATTAACACATTACCGACGGTTTAAAATGCCCCACAAGAAAAAAAAATTTACAATTCACTTACAATACACCGGCGCTTTAAAACGCCCCTAAAAGTAAAAAATTATACATTACCGGCGCTTTAAAGTGCTGGAGTATATCGTTAAAACCGGCGCTTTAAAACGCCTCTAAAAAGAAAAAATTATACATTACCGGCGCTTTAAAGTGCCGGAATACACAGTTATAATGACAGTTTACTTAAAATACACCGGCAGACAAGAACACCGTTAATTAAAATTTCACCGGCGGTTTTATTAGACCGCCGACAATGATTTCAAACCCGGCGGTTTCTTAAAATCTGCCGGTGAAACTTAGCGGCAGTGACTATATCAGCGGTTTGGTATTACCGGCGGTTTTGGTACCTAACACCGGCAGTTTAGATCGCCGCTGAAATTCTTATTTGTTGTAGTATAAACAAAGGTTACATATAAATACTCATTATGATTGTGCTTAAATAATAAACAATAAACAAAAATAATTACCAAACTGGGCCTA